TTCTGGATATTCAGAATCTCTGTATAATCAGGAATTCTGAAAAGCTTTAAAGGTTAAGTCAAACCGAAAAAAGGGCTCCGGGACATTTCAGAACTTCTAGACGTCGTTTTTGAAATTTTCAATTTTTTCGATGTTTTGAGAGATTCCGAGTGCGACCGTATCACTATTTGGAGTACGGTAGATGAGAACGGATAAAAAAGCAGAAAAGCACAAAATTGAAATGAGCAATGCTCATTTGGTGTGTAAAAATTACTATACAAGAATGCAGAAAAGTTCTGAAACGTCGTGGTTCCGAAACGTCCCGAAGCCGGAAATAGACAATTTTCAGAACTTCCTCCAATCTAAGAATACCTCACCCAGAAATTCTCAAAAATTTCTAAAATCTCGATTTTTCAAAGTTTAGGAGTTTGAGATTTTCATAAAATTATAGTCCCTTTGTCGGCCCAAAAGGGTACATCGAGTTCTTAGGTACATTAGTTCTGAGGGTACATGGGATCTTAGACTGTAAGGCGTTTTAGCCTAAGCCTATAATTTTGAGCAGAAAACAAAATAGAATGTATAAAATATTGATTGACTTTTTTTGTCCACCTACATGTACCGAACAATCCAATGTACCCTTGGAACCAATGTACCCTAAGAACTCGATGTACCCTTTCTCGATGTACCCTTGGATACTGGGCCCCATTTGTCTGAATTTCAGAGAATCGAAAAGTTTCAAACTGTTGATTCAGAAAATTTGAAGAATTTTGAAATTCAGAAATTTTCGAAAATTTTTAATTTTCGAAAAACCAGCAATCCCAAAATTTGGCCCAAACCCTAGGATCCTTCAAAATCCGGAATCCTGAAAAAATCTGAAAATTAGAATTTTTCCAAAAATTTTAGATTTCGTTAATTTGGAAACTTTCTTCGTTTTTCCCAAATTTTAGACATTATTGAAATCTGAAAATGCTGAAAATGTGGATATTTCAAAATCAGAAATAAAAAAAGAATAAAGTAAATGTTCAGATAATTAGATTTCCAATACTCCAAACCCCAAGAATTCTTAAAATTTTGAAACTCTTTTGTTTTCACAAATTTTATAATTTTAGAAATTTAGGATTCTTTCCTCAGATTGTTAGATCCTAAAAGCTTTCCATCTCGGGATTCTCGAAATCTGAGAATCTTAATTTTTCAAATTCTCAACGTTTTCAAAGTTTTTTTCTAAATTCCATAATTTCTGGTTTGATTTGATTTGAAAGGAAGTTCTAGAATCCTAAAAATCTGAAAAATCTCAATTTTCCAAAATCTTTCAGATTGCCCGTGCGATTTGTCAGATTCTCTCCACCGACTGTCAACAGCTACACACATCGCTGTGTGATTACTTTGTTCAATACGTGGATATGTGTTCAGAAATTCATAAAATCAAAGAGTCAACCCCCATTGACGATTCTCTATGCTGTCTGGATATAGGGACATCTCGAATTGCATTAAGTCGAGAAGTTCCAGTCGCTGTTGTCAAGCTATTATCGAAATTTGATACGAAAAATATGGAAAAAGGAGGGAAGAGTACACCATTCGAGATGTTGGTTCAGGTGAGATTTAGAGGACATTTTGAATATTTTTAAAACGAAAATTTTGAAATTTGGAATTCCAGAAGATTTCAAAAAGGAAACTGCTTTTGGTATCCGAATTTCCGAAAATATAAGAGTTTCAGGCGATTCACAAATTTCATTATTTTTGTTAGGGTGGCAACGGGAGTTCTCTCCTCTTTTATTCAATTTAGAAGCAATTCGCCTGATTTCACTCCAGTCATACGGTAGCCACGTAGCAGTAGATACATATTTGACAGCGTTTGACGGTCTAGCGATTGGATTTTCATCTGGAAAAATGTTAGAATTTCTATGGAAAATCTGGAAATTTTCAGATAAAAATTAGACATTTTTTGGCGAAATTTGACTATTTCTAGTGGAAATTTTCAGACGAAAAATATGGCATTTTTTAGAATTTTTTTTCAAAATTTCTGATTTTTTAAATGGAAAAATCATCCGAATATGCGACCCTTTTTAGCCATAAAAATCGGAGTATTTCCAGTGGGAGGCTCAGTATCCAAG